ATTATAATCCAACCATGACTGAGATGGCATTCTGATTCCTTAATAGAAAAAGCTCATCGAGTCCCCATTTGCACGTTGATTTTCTATAATTTAATTCTCAAAATGTCACCTTAGTTCTTAGCATAACCTATATAAAACCTGGCACCCTGGCGATCCAGTTTCAGCATGAAGCCTTGTTCAAAGAAACACAGTCCAGAAAGCAAAAGTCCAGTATCCTTACTAGAGAGCATCAGAGGGGATTCATTTTATAAGCTACAATAAAATATCTTCCAAGTCTCTCTCCCTGATTTTCTGGTCTTAATAACTCAGCCCCTTTATTTTTAAGCTCTTTAACTTCAAAACTGTCCCCGAGACCTTGCAGTCATTTTTTCTTCATCTCTTCTTTTCTAGATCTTTGGTTCCTCCCACCCCCACCCCATCTACCATATGCCCCATTCCCTTTCCAAGTGCAGGCTATTTAAAACAGTCTGGTTCCAGCGGTTTTTCATCACTCTACCCCTTTCTCGGATTCTGCGTTGCGAGCCTAGGAACCAGCTGGCCCAAAGTCACTCAAAAGCCTGCATGAGGGGGAGGAACACGTAATTTCCTTTAGCTCACAGTGAGAGGTTTCGAAGCAAAATTCTCTCTATCTAGCCATAATAGCTAGAGAAAAGATTGCAACATTTAAAATTTTAACATATTTTTTTTCCCTCTCATCTAAATTTGGGGATATCTTGATGGCAGTAGTGCTTTGACGAGGTCCTCTGGCTCTAGGTATCAGCTCTAGTCAGAATGAACCTCAGCAGAGGAAAGAAAACACTGTATCTCTGCTTCTTACTGCCCTCCCTGCTCAGCTACTTCTCCTCTCTCCCCAAGTTTCTCACATTCAGTTGGGACCCTCCCCCCGCCCCAGCTGCCTTCTTGCATTTTCCAATACCTAGGTTGCACTGGAGGCAGCAGGAGAGAAGAGGGAGTCTGCCTGAAGCATGCAAAGGTATACAGAGGCTTCTTAACTGCTTTCATTTGTTTGTTTGTTTTAAAAGAAAATGATACAAAAAATGTTTAATATATTTAAAATCACTATATACATAAATGTATAATACCGATTTTATAAAAGAGAAATGCATCTGTAGTTATAGTCACAGAAATACTAGAAGGAAATACACCAAAATATTAAAAATGATGAATGGCTTCTTAGCTACTTTTAATACCTGTCTTCCCATCATACTTCCTAACCACTTTTGAACAGAGTGTGTTCCATTCTACGTGGGCGTACTAAGAGTTACAGTTTCACAATGTTGCAATACTTCCAGAAGATTCTTGCCAGGAAAATATATAATTTACAGAAAGACAATGAAAGTAGCTAGCTAGGCCTCCCAGAGAGTGGAAGGGTCTGGAAGTCTTCCTAATGGATTGAGATCACTTCATTCCAGACATCTCTCGAGGCACAGTGCCCCTGAATGGCTTGCTACTGTCAGTTCATTATGCTTTCCCTGGGATTTCCACTTCCCCAGCTTTTCTCTTCAGGATGAGATTTCTATGATTCTTTGCCAGAATCAGCTTTTTCAACTGTTTTCTTATATGCCTAGCCATAATAGTCTATTCCATATGGGCTAAATGTCTTCAACAGAAAGATATTTCTGGTTTTATAGACCGATGGCTAATGTGTTTTCATTGATACGTTTTACTGCCATTGAAGTCCTGAGTGCAAACTCTTGATGCATTTGAGTGAGGGACGCAGACAAACGGAAACATGATCAGAGGAGAGCAAGTATTTCATTCAGAGAGACTTACCAAGCATCTACTGCATGTCTTCATCATGAGGAAACCATTGCAATAATCCAGATGGAAGCGGAGTATAAGCAGCTAAGTGCTACAGAGTGCTAAAAATACTAATGTAGACGAGTCTACGCGTGCAGGTGGTGAGATAAGGGGGGTAGTGTTTAGGTAATAACAGAGGGTCTAGTGGGGAAGCAGACGGTGTGGGAAGTGACAGTCAACGGGGCTCGATTTTCAAGAAAGTGAAGTGTCTAGGACCAGTAAGCTTTCTGATTCGAGTCATTGTTGCTGAGATGAGGAATACAGAAGGCACAGAGGTGAGAGTAAGGGAGGAAGGATGGCCGAAATGATGGGTACGAGGGTTGAGTTTGAGGGACTGGATATGAACAGATGGCGGCTGGATATGGGGTTCTGGAGCTCAAAGGAGAAATCTAGGCTGAAAGAAAAGACCTGTAAGTTACCAGCATGTAGGTTGTTTAGTTCATGACCCCAGACTTTATATTTACCTATTAATCCACTCTATACATCAGTGCCAGATTAACGTTCCTAAAATGCCATTTCACTATATCACTCTCTTGCCTAGAACCCTACAATAACGCTGCATTTTCTATACAATAAAATCACAACTTCTTGGCCTGGCATTCGGGGCCTTCAATGATCTAAGTCATTGATCTGTATTCCTAAAGGCAAGCCCTGCACCCCAGTTAGATTTCCCTTCTCATTGTCTCTGGAATATGCAGTACATTTCTACCCTTGCTTGCACAGTGCACTTTTTCCTGGAATGCACTTCCTATTAATTTGTATCCTCCTAATTCCTATCCATTCTTAAAGAGCTAATTTAAAACCTGCATCTTTCATGATCATATTTATGCCAGTGATCACCAATGAGTCTACTGACAGAGCATGTAAAGGTTCACGGCCTGACCACCTGATAATATTTCTTTGTCTATTCAAGGCATGGTTCATCAATATGGTGGCAGGCAACTATGAAGCGAAGACTTGCTCTATGAACAAAGACACAGAGGTGGATAGCTCAGGAAAGTTTTGCAAATTTCCAGATGTATAATTAGAACATGGTCTTAGTCCATTCAGGCTCCTATAACAAAATATCATAGACTGCTTGGCTTATAAATAACAGAAATTTATTTCTCACGGCTCTGGAGGCTGGGAAGTCCAAGATCAAGGCACCAGAAGATTTGGTGTCTGGTGAGGGCCCGTTTCCTGGTTCATAGACAGTTGTCTTCTTGCTGTGTTCTCTCAGGGGGGAAGAGGCGAGTGAGTTCCCTGGGGCTTCTTTTATAAAGGCACTAATCCCATTGATGAGGGCCCCACCCTTATGACTGTTCACTTCCCAAACTTCCCATCTCCTAATACCATCATCTTGGGAGTTACGGCTCAACATATGAATATGGGGGAGGATGCAAACATTCAATCTATAACAAATACACAACCCTCAATCAACATTTACAGAATTATTGAGTCATCAGCATCTTATATTCTTCATATACTATACCTTGGTTCTGGATTTAAATGTAGGACAACTACATGTCTTGATAGCCAGCGGGAATGAATGATAAAGTCCAGTAAACTTACTCTCGAGAAATCCTAGAATATAAAGGCAGTGACTGGTTCTGGAGGTCCTTGCTTTATCACATGGTGGCTCTGAGTTGCTGGATATGTGGGCTCTCCTCACTGGAACCTCATATTCCTGGTCTCCTGTCATATACTGTACATTCTTAGACAAATTCGGATTAAGCAGCATCAGTGATGCACCACTGATTGGAGTTCCTTGGTAAATGCTCAGTTTCTAAAATATTTTTGGGCTTCAATTTGGCAAGGAGGTTATGTCTCTGACTTGAATATCGTGTCCCAGAAATATTATAAGAAAATATTTCTTAAAAGTCTGTGCATTGCACAGAACTTGGTTATGGCACAAATTATTACTGTGTTGATTTGAATCGCAGTGGTATAAACGCACCCCCAGAAACATAGCAACAACAAAAAATAAAAGCTTCTGTTAACACAGAACACAGCAGCCGGGCTTCTATGTTATTGTCTTCTCCAGAATTTGGCCGTTATATTGTAAAGTGCTGTTACGTTTTATCTAACAAGTGTCTCCTCTGTTTATGTGAGTGAAGGTAAATAATCCAATGCAGTGAAAGTCTCAGGAAACCCCATGCTGTGTACTTTGGAAAGAAAACATTGGACAAATGTGCTATCGTAAGGGAAGGGCTATTTGTAAATTAATTCTATTTGTAAATTAATTACATTCATTTGAGGTTTATTGTCTACATTTGCAAAGTGTGGAGCAGAAAAGTAAATCGAAAGGTTATGCTGTGAATACAAGGAAAATACATCCCTTTAAAACAGGTTTCTAGGCATTCTCTAGACATAAATATGTGGCAATAAGAATAATAGTAAATTACATTGAGTATTTACTTATGTGCCAGACATTGTTCTGGGTCCCTTGCATGTATCATCTCATTTAACCTATGTCCTAGCCATATGGGTTAGGTACAGTTATTGTCTCTTCTTCATGTAAGGGAAGACTTAGGTAAAAGAACTTGTTAGAGGTCACACAGGTAGCAAGTGGTAGAGTTGTGAGTTGGACTCAGGCAGACCAACCCCAGAATTTACTGGAACCTCAATGAGCCCCACCCACATCTCATGTCTCCTACCCCCAAGGCTAATTGAAGAAAGATCACTCATCTAATTTGCATTGTTTGGTATACCCAACTGAATGATTTGTCCTACAACATTGGAAATTACCTTGGATTATTTGTGTATGTGAGTTCAACAAAAGAAATCTACCCTAGAATTCCCACTGTTTTATTCTATAGTATTTGCAGTCTATAGCAGCCTCTGTGTTTTTGATCGAGACGTTTTTATTCTTTGTCTCCAAATTAAGGCTGCACAGACCTGCCTGTGTGTGCATGTGTGTGTGTTTGTGTGAGTGTATGTGTGTGTAGAAACCGCCTTTTCTTCTGGACTAAATTGTTGCAGCTTGGTTGAGTGAGGAAAATTTCTCCCACTCACTGAGCCCTCAGCAGACATGTTACGAGAATCTTGCTGCTTGCAACACACCCAGACACAGAGGGGCAGGTGACACTGCGTGTATGCCCAGTATCTCTGGAAGTGTCTGTACAGATGTGAGCTACCGCTGCTGCTTCTGCTTCCTGCCTTAAAATTCCTGGAATCAATACCCACCCACTCTTAACAGCCTCTTTCTCTTTATTTTCAAGGAAAAAAGAAAGAGACAGACTGAAATAGAAGGCAAGCGACAAGAGCTTGACGAGCAGATACTTCTGCTGCAGCATTGCAAGGTAAGCGGCTGATCCACGAACCTCTTCCATTATTAGACATGCAGATCACACTGCAGAGAGCTGGGCAGAGCCTGCCCTGGCATGAAGGCGCTGCTGCGGACTGAACTAGCCCTTTTTCATTCAGTCAGGAAACCATCTCTTGGCTTTTCTTGTGAATTTCTCAAATTCAGGGCATTGTTACAGCATTCACTTTCTGCAAACATGATGAGATTGTAGAGTGTGTGTGTGTGTGTGTGTGTGGACAGGTTTGGGGGGTGCTGTGTGCATGTGAAATGTGGCAGTTATATATAGAAATTGGAAAAGAATTCCCACATGGTGGGCGAGGCAGTATTCCGGGGCTGTGTCTCCAATGCACAGGTGCTCTGTGTGTGTGTGTGTGTTTGTTCAGAGGTTCCCATAGATACATTTAACATAATGTTGTGTTTGAAATTAAAAATATGAATAGTTTTCTTTCTTGTTTTGGAGAAAAGGGAGATAAAAGCAGTGTGATATGATAAAGGAGCAACCCTGTGAATTTCAGATTATTTATTCATTTTTATCTCTAACAATTTCGAAAGTGTTTTATTAGAGCCAGCAGTTGGTCAAAAGACAGCATTTAAATGATTGGACTTGGCTGGGTCTCCATCGCACGAAGTTAAAGAGGGGGGTGGGGAGGGAGCACAAGCTGTTTATTTATTTATTTTTCTTTAAAACGTCATGCACTTAAGCATCGTAATTGATTACAGCTCGGGAGGAAGCTCTGTCACTGTCACAAGGGCTCCACTGGTTACCGAATGTTGCTTTCTGCAGGCTCGGGAATAATGCGAGCACATTCCAGGGCCAGCCAGGAGCTGCCGCTTGCCTTCCAGTGCTCCTGAGCTTTTGGAGGCAAACCTCCTGCTCTCCTCAAGTTGCCGTGACACTGCATTCATAGAACCGCATTGCTCAGAGGGCTGGTTGGGAAGGTGGGGCTGACTTTCAGAGTGATGCTGGCTGTCGATTATTTGAGATTTTTTAGAACAAGGTGAACCTTTATGGTTGCATTTCCCATTCTTTTCTAGAAGACAGGGCTGTGCTAAATGAGTCCTTAAAATGTGAATCATCAGCAAGCGAGCTGCTTATTTCAAATAGCAGCATGACCTAAATCTGCTTAGCATATTTATCAGTTGCCATTAACTTTAGCCAGAGAAATGTGTTTGTTTTTTTTTTTAAAAAAAAAAAAGAAAAGCAGCATGATACTGAGAACATTGCCCTTTTCTCTCTGCTTATCATATAAATTCATTTACGAACCTTTCTTTGTAGAAGCTTGCAATATGTCCCATATGCCATTGCTCTTTCTTTAGAACGTTTCTGAGGGAGGATAGAGGGCTAAAGTTAGTATCCTCTTTTTACAAAGAGTGAGGCTGAAAAACACTTACTAGACCGAGTGAATTGTTCAAGGTCAATCTGGACAGAGCTGGGTCTCCGGCTCTGAGTACAGCCAACTATCTTTATAAGAGAACAAAATATACTAAAACCTCACTGAATTCTTGGTTAAATGTGCACTTTTTGATAAGAGGAGTAAAAGAGGAGAGGCTGTTTTTGACTAGACAACCTCTCTCCTCTTCAAGGTCAATGTGGTTTGTTGCTCTTGCATTCCTTGAATCAGAAAGTCAAGCAATAAACATATGTGAGAAGATCAAGTTTCTTTTGTCCTACTTCTCATCATTCTGAGAGCAAATAAGATGCCAAACACTCGTTCATTGCTAATGTTCAGCTCAGTGTTACAATATTCTGTTCATAGTCCACCTGTCTATTTCTCTTCCATCTGTGTATCCATCCATGTGTCTACCCATGTATTTATCCATGGATCCATCCAACCGTCCACCCATCCTTCCATCCAATCAACAGAAACAACACTAAAAATGACTTAGTATTACATGGGGAAGCAGTGAGATTCCTTCAAGGACTGGGAGACAAGGGAATCAGATGGTTTTTAATGGTTATCCTGGTAAATTTCTCATTTTCTCTGGCTATGTAAGGAAACACCCAGTACTTTGACCAAGGTAATCTTGCTATAACCTTGGGGAGAAACGACTGGAAGTGTTGGTGATTCAATAAGTGGAGACCAGTGCCTTATAATTTTCTCTCTGGGGAAGACCCGTGTAGACAGAATGGGGGCGGGTTGCCAGACTTGAGCAATGAAGAAGGAAAGTCCAGAGGGCCTCAGGGTGGTTTATCTGGTACTCATCCTGGAGAGAGACCCCAGCTCTGCGGGGTCCCGAGTTTTTATGCACTAATGAGCTGGGGTCTACTGTGAGGCAAGGACAGTCATTCGTCCTCCCCATCGCCCACGTGAAACTTCCCTCTCGACTCTGCCTCTCTTTGTTCTAGTTCATCCTCCCCAAAATAATCAATTTATTTTAATATAAGGGATGCCTGACTAAGGGATTTGATCACTTTGGGCACCAAAAAGGAATATGTCTACTTCAAATCAGGTAACTGTTGACTGAACTTGAATAGTGTGAGTCATCTTCCCTACGATCATGCAGTGTGCAGCCTCACGCCTAAATAGTAGTAAATTCATGGAGATTATAGTTCTTCTGTGAGCTTCTTGGTGGAGACTCAGCCAGCTTCCTTGGTGCAGCAGGCAGCCTTGTGCATCCTCTTGCCCACTCTCAATAATAGTCATATTTTTTTTGAGTGCATAATTTGTGCTTGGTACTTTAAATATGCCCCCTCAATGATGACCATAAAGTAGATGTTACTCTCCCTCTCTTACAGGAGAGGAATCTAACTCATGAGGTTGAATAGTTTGCCCAAGAACATAGAGATTGTAAGTGGGGGACGCTGGGTTGAATACCAGGACTGTCTGCCTCCATAACCTTGCTTTCCCCAAGACACTGTTTGTTTGTTATTGTTGTTGTTGTTTTTAAATGAAATGTTTCCTTTTGAATAATTTGTTTAGAGAGGTGTCGATTACCATCCTTACTGTCTCTCTAAGTATATTTTCATGGACTCCAAAAAATTCCCAGAGACATGCCACAGTGATTATTGATAAGTCCTTGAAGTAGAAAATATTAGAAATCTCTCAGTAATTCCTATTTATTTTACCAGTTTACAAAAATCCCAGATGTCCTTTAAGAAAAAAATATTCTCAGTGCAAAGTTAAGTGGAAAATCAATATAATTAGATTTCACATTTATTAAATTGTAATTCTCATGATCAAATAGTCTATGGACATTTATTCTCATGCAATGAGATGTGAATTATTGAGACAAATTCAGTAGTCTGTCAAAGCAAATGAATAGAATGCAAGACAATAATTTTGGTACTTGTATATTTGACTAATAAATTTGCTAATTAGAATATTTAGGGCTACACACTAACTCCAGAAAATGAAATATTATTACTGTATATATGGACAATGAACAAATTCTATAATGTAATGAAGGACCAAATGCTGAAATATTAGCTGCAACACCTCAGTGATTAGAAAACCTCCAGATACTTTGAAGTCCTGGACAAATTAAACTCATATTTCTTTTTTACAAGATCCTTAACTATATTTAGTATCTAATATATGTTATGTGATTTCCAAGAAATGCTCACGTAGAAGACCAGTAAGCAATTGTAATAGCACAAGAAAATAGAAAGAAAAAACATAACACTGCATACTCACCACCTAGATATAACCCACATGGGTATGTCCTTCTGTGCTTTCTCCCCAAGATATTTTTATAAATTAAGATATATAACTCTTGTTCGCATGCCTCATCAGCCTGTGAGTAAAATGAAATTATATTAACATTTGTAACTAAAACACATTAGCCTTGACCTCTTGTTCACATATGGGCTCTTTTCAATTCTCATACAAAGCTTTGTCATTCTTATGAAATCAAATCTAACATTCTTTTTCTTTATGATTTCTGATTTTGATGCTGTCCTCGGAAAGAATACCCTCCTTCCAAACACTTACCTGTAATGTTTCTTCTACTTCAGTAGCTTTAATCCAGCTAGAGTTTATTTTCCTCTAAGGTATGAGGTAGGAATAACTTTACTTTTTACTGATAGTAAACCAGTTGTCTCAACATGATGTATTAGTTAATTCATCTTTTTCCTCACCGATCTCCATGTCTTCTTGATCACACACATATTTCTCACATATCCTCAAGTCTACCATTTGTGGATTCTTTCTGTTCCATAATCTGTCATTCCTATGCCAACACAGCCTCATTTAATCCCTCTAGGTTTTTAACATATTATACGATTTCATAAGGCAAGAGCTATTATTATTCTTCTTTTGAAAAATTGTTTTGGCTTTTTAGTCCATGGAAACAATTATTTATTGTTTTTATTATGTGTCTTGCAGTATGTGAGTTTTAAAATATAAATCAACAGTTATAGTCTACTAGAACGGAATGAATGTAATATATTCCCTCTTGCCTCTCGGTTGAATTGCCAGAGATTTGTCTATTTTATTGGTTCAAGGTCCCAGCACAGAGTAGGCACTCAGTACATATTGCCATATAAATTCCTTCGGGACTGTCACATTTATAAATGTTTGTGTGACAGAGACAGCAATGTCAGAATCAAATTGCTAATACCACATCTTGAATGTATAAGCTGCCTTGGACTTATTTATTTATGAGCAGAGAACCCTGATTAGAGTTGTTTCTTTAATCCAAGCTATGGAAATTGTCATTATATTTTTTAAACCACAGCCTTTTATTTCAAAAGAACTAAATGAAAAAAACACAAACAACAACAACAAAAAACAAAGCAGAGACTGAATTCTGACCCTGTGAAATATTTATTGTCAACCCACCAAGGTCATTGGCTGAATAGCCCGAAGATATGAGGTGGCTTACTGCAAAGATATTACAGTATTTCTCATTATTATGAACATTTAGCACTAATTTTAGACTTTTCTCAATTATTAGTATGTGTGAAAGGCCAGTTTCAAATTTGAAAATATTGAACAGATGGCCAAGGTACAGAGTGTAAAGGGACTTTTCCCCATCACATCTTCCCTGTAAACA